CCTTGCCCAACCTTATCCTTTCACCATTGCACAGTGTGCCCCCGAAGTGTGGATATTTCTGGCTTCCACGAGCCACCACTAACATGCCATTTTCTGGAGCACGGCAGTCTCTGATTTCAGTTGTCCCCCTTGTGCGCTGGGAGGAAACCTGGCCATGAAGAGGAGCGGTTCACACTGGACCCCTCCAGATCTAGTCTCCTAAGCCATTCCTGCTTCTTCAGACCTTCCCCCAGCTACCCTCACCCAGCCAGTGACCCTGCGTTGGCCCCCTCCCTTCTCTCTGCAAAAATGTTAAATGGTCCCCAGGGACTGCACGCGACAGGGAGGCCTCTCCCGCACTGTCCCCCCAGGAAGAGCTGCCCTCCCTCGGCAGATGTGCCCCCTCCTCCCTGGGGCCCCTCCTCCCTGGGTCACAGACTGTGACCAAGTCTTATTGCCTGTCTCTGGGAATTCATTTCCTGTCTCTCCTCTGTTCCACTTCTCTGGGGCTCCGCGGCCCTCCCCAATCCCCCGGCACTGTGCCCCCTCATGTTTGCCAGGCAGCTGGCTGCTTTCATTATTTTTATGCCAACACAGTTTAAAAATCTCGGCTGCCTCCTTGCTGTCTGCAGAGATGCAGACTGACATCCTGGTGTCATTAGGGTCCACGCACACTCTCCTCAGCTAATGAGGCGGCAGAAAGAAAATTAAGGGGAAAAAAAATCACACAGGCACATTGCTCTATATGTAGATGGAGAAATAAAACAAGAGCAAGAAAAACAGAGGTGCACCATTTACGAGGGCTCGCCTGCCTCCTCTCCCCTGGGGAGGGGTGCACATGCAGCTCGGGTGGAGACAGGAAACGCAGTCTGGTTTTTGACTACTGCAACCCCAAGATTCTCCCACTAAAAAGCTTGTGAAATTGGGAGTACCGTGAAGTCACTTTACCTAATTCTGTATGTAGGTAAAACGGAATCGCAAAAACTTGAGGTCCATCCTTCCAGCGTGGTCAGTGCCCAGAAAGTGAGGAAAGACTAGAGCTCTGCAGATGTTTCTAGAATCTGTCATTCTCGCCGCCAACCTTCATTTCCCATTGTGGAAGCTATCTGCATGCCTCACCTAGATCGCCAAGGCGGTCTGTGCTTTTCCACCAGTCCCCTGCCCTGGCACGTTCTCTACACTGCAGCAGAAAAATCAACCCCGGTACTCATTTGATTATATGCCACCTCTCCTGCTGCAAATGATGTAATACATTCCCATTGTTCTTAAGACAAAGGCTAAAACCCTTAACCCCTGAAGGCTCTTCCTCTGGCCCCCTCTCACCACTTCCTCCCAGCTACTGGGGCATCTTTCAACTGCACCCATTACAGTGCTCCTTCCGCCCTAGGACACTTGCCCGTGCTGTTCCTTCTGCCCCCAACGGTCCTTCCTCTCTTCACAGGGCTGAGTCTTCAGCCTTCAGGTCTGGGCTCACTCCACACGTGCTTGGAGGGGCCTTTCACCCCATCCTCTGCCCCAGCCAGCTCAGGCCCCCTGTTTGGCACTTTCCAGCTGCAGAGGGCCTTGTTCGAACAGCTCTCTGACTGTGGCAACTTCACCCTGAGTGTGTGGTGGTCTAAGTCAAAGCTGGCCTCCACTCAGGTGGCAGGCAGCTCCAGGAGGGCAGGACATACGCATGCTGTGGTCCAACACGAACTCCTGCCCTGAGCACAGGAGTTCCGAGAAGCGTCTGCAGAAGGAGTAAGAAAGTGCGGGTGGGACACACAGCCCGTGGGTGTGGTTCGGGGACGAAGGTTCACCGCTGCTGCTGTCCCTGCACGTCCCCCGCTCCTGGACCCGGTCCGAGCCACTCAGACGGCCCAGGCCAGGGGCACAAGGAGCAAGAAACGTGAGCAAAACCCTTTATTCCAGACCAAGCATCCGACCCCCAGTCAACTAGTGACAGTTGCAAAACAAATTCGGGTCCCCAGGTGTGTGTTTCCCTGCCCTCCTGCCTGCTCTCCTGCAGGCCGGGCCCCCGCCTACGCTGACAACTCTCAGGATTCAATCCCGGCTGCAGCCTGCCACTGCGCCTGCACCTGCCCTCGCGCCCCGACGTCTGACTCCGGTGTTAACTAGCGGGCAGCCGGGCAGAAAGGCCTGGCACTGTCAACATGCTCGCTTCCCAAGCCGTGACACCACTTTGATTTTCGGGGCAGAGCACTGCGCACGGCTCCGATGGATGCTTCGAGTCCGCCTGCCGCGGTGACGGTGCCTTTGTCTGGGCATGGGGGAGCTGTGATTTATGTCATAAGCTCGCTGTGAAACCTTTGCCTCAGTAATTCTGAGCTCCGTGGGTGTCTCTTTACATCTATTTAAAGCACGGCTGCTGCCCACGGGCGGCGTGCTCTGTGACATTCCCCGGTGCCTCTGCGTACGCCCCGCCATGGCGCTGAGTCTTGCCAGCAGAGCATCTTTGTGGCTCGTTTCAGTGTTGGCTGCGCACTCCAAGTCTGCTGAGCAGAGTCGGATGTGTCCCTTTGATGTCCTGCGTGGTGATTAGACCCGTTCCCTGGTGGACCACGTGCAGGGGGCTGGGGGGAGGGGCATGCTGCTGCCTGATTTCCAGAGTTTGCCCTGTTTGTCTTGGGGCGGCTAGTACAAACACGGGCGCTTGTATCTGTGTTTACAGGATTCTCAGCGGGGTGGTAAATGCGTTCCCCTTTGCAACCTGCCCCAGATCGGAGCGCCAGGAGCTGGTGGCTGTGGACCCGTGGGCACTCCTCCGTGGGGTGCCCCCTAGAGGTGTGGGGGACCTCAGCGTAAGAAGTCAGATCCCCATTTCCAGAGATCTAACCTGCAGGCCACTGGGCCCTGGAGTTGCTGGAATCCCCTTCATTCATTCAACAACACTGAGGAGTTGCAGGTGTAGGCACTGCCCTACGTGTGTGTGTGTGTGTGTGGGGGGGTGACAAGGTGGCAATGCTTTATTGTGAACGCTTCCTAGTATTAAGATTTCTCAAGGAAGCTCCAATCTCTTCCCGAATGGTGTGAAATTGCTAAGAGATTCATTGTCACTTTTAGGAGCCAGGCGCTTCTCACGGCCTCTTGGTCCCTGCTATATAATAAACGGCCTCCAAATTCAAACCTACCTGCAGCTTGCACCCCCAGTGATGATGCTCTAGTGTCATGTGGCTGATGAAGTATGTGGGCATCCCAGGAGAGGGCACTTGGAGGCCCAGACGGGAGACACTGTGCCTTCCCCTGCATCTTGAGGTGAAGGCAGGGTAATTCTTATAGCTCTGAAGACAGTTCAGGTGCTAGAGGCCCTGTCCCCAGGGATGATGTTCGTGGGGCTGCACCTAGGACTTGGAAACCTATAGAGATCACTCAGATCGCATGACTCCAAGGCTAACAGCAGATTATGACTAGTCACTACTGAAATATATTGACTTTTTTTTCTTTTAAAGAATTTGCCCCAAATATTTTTCACTTTTGGCCCATTGCGTAAAGCCATTTGTGTGTTTCTTGTTCCTTCTGTACGCAGTTTCATGCTGGGAGGGGTGAAGTGAGTAATGCAAACATGGTGTGACCTGGAGGGGCAGCAGGGGTGTCCTGTTTCCACTGTACTGGCTGATGAACTAAGACTGCTAATATTGGGACACATTGCAATGTAAATGATGACTATAATATTATACATAATATAAATGCTGGTGTTCCCTTTCCAGAATCTGCCATACTGAAATCCTGCAGTAGTGGAGTGTAATGGAGAACAATTCAAAGATACTGTGAGAGGTAGGGGAAGAACCTGGTCACAGTGTTTGTGAGGTAAGGACACACCCAGGGAGTTGTGTGGGTGGATTTCCCCCCTTTCACCCATGTTTTAATAGACACAGCGTTACTCAGCACGCATCTACAAGGCAAAGTTGGCATTTGAGAGAGATGTGTGGATTTCACTATTTCAGACCACTTAGAGTGCTGTCCCCCCCCTTTTTTTTTATTGTCATTAGAGTGCTGTCCTTTTAAAGTAGAAGCTTTTTAGCTATTTGTTCAAAACTTACCTGGCCAAAGTATGTCTCCTGCATATGATCAGTGAGTCTGGGGATGATTTTTAAGTCAAGCACACTCAATTTATATCTAATGGAATGACTTCTCTTCTAATGGAGTCTTTTTAGGAGGACGAGCCCTTATTCCAACCAATATTTGGGGGACTTTTTTTTTGGGAAATATTTTCCATCTTCTAAGTACTTTCTCTGATGGGCAATCTTTACTCTTTATCTTTGTCACTTCAGGGTAGATCTGACACGTGGAAAAAGCGGCAGGCTGCTCAGAGTCAAGTCTGCAAAGTGGGGCTGAAGTCCCAACACAGCCCTGACCCTGAACTGGGCATTTCACCTGGTTGAAACCCAGGTAGGAGAATCTCATGTGCCTGGGTCATGTGCCTGGCGTATTTTGCAGGAGTGTGGTTTGTACTGAATGACAGAGATCTGCACCACGTGTCAAGTGCTTTCATTAATGTCATCAGTAAGGTAGGTGGTCAGATTGGGTATTTCGTTTCAGATCAAACACTGGACTGACTTTCATTGTTTACCAATTAGATAAGCTGCCAAAATATTTTGAGCCATGATGGCGTCATCCAACTAAGTGCCCAGGGTCCCCAGTGTAACCAGTTTTCTTTCTTTCTTTTTCTTTTAAAAATTATTCTTTAAGTCGGCTCCATACCCAAGATGGGGCTTGAACTCACAACCCTGGAATTAAGAGTTGCATGCTCCACCAGCCAGGCACTCGGGCAACTGAATTTTCTAGCAACTCTGGCCAGGAGGCTTCGGGGCCCTGCCCTTCCAAGTGTGGGTCCCAGTCCAGCAGCCTCGGCCTCACCTGGGAACCTGGTAGAGCTGCACTCCCCCACCTCCTGCACCTGGGCATCGGGAGCTGCATTTTGCCTGGTCCCCCGGGGGGGGGGGTGAGTTGCGGGGCCCCTTAAAGTTTAGGAAGCGCATGGAGCCCCGGCTGCAGGCTTGTCCCTGGGGCCCTCTTCTTACCTTGGGGAAGGCGTCGGGCCACACGGTGGGGGAGCCGTGGTTGAGCAGCGCCTGCACCGTGCGCTGCGGCGCGGCCTCGGGCGCGCAGGCGGCCGTCTGCAGGGCGCGGGCCAGCGGCGAGGCCCCGCCATAGTCGAGCGCGCCCGCGTCGGCGCCGTGCCGCAGCAGGAGGCGCGCCAGCTCTGGGCACGCGCGGCCGCAGGCCTTGTGCAGTGGGCTGCTCTCGTCCTCGTCGCGCGCGTCCGCCGCCGCCCCGCGCCGCAGCAGGAGCGCGCACAGGCGCAGGCAGCGCGCGTGCTCGTCGGGCCGCCGCGCCGGGCCGCACGCCGCGCTCAGGGGCGTCTCGCCGCGGCCGTTCCTCGCGTCCACGCGCGCGCCGCAGCGCAGGTAGAGGCGCGCGTGCTCGTCCAGGCCGCGCTGCGCCGCCACGTGCAGCGGCGTGTCCCGGCCCGCGCCGCTCGCGCGGTGCACCGAAGCGCCGTGCACCAGCAGCGCCTGCGCGCACCTGCGGGGAGGTCAAGGCGGGTCACCCGGAGGAGGCCGGGGGGGGGGGGGGTGGGGGGGGTGGGGGGAGCGGGGTGGGGGTGGTGGCGACCTCCAGACAGCCTCGCCCGGCCGCCCCCGACCGCCGCTCCGCACCACCCCTCGGGACGAGTTGGCTCCCTGGAAAGCAGGGGCGGCTCTCAGTTCAGCTTTTCCGTTCCCGGGCGGGGGGGAGTTCGGACTGAGCGGGGGAGAAAACGAGATTATGGCCAACCCTGGGGGCCACAAATGGTGGAAGTAGCTAGGAACGTTTCCGAAGAATCGCCCTGCGGAGTAGGACCTTAGGAGGAATTGGTAAGGGGCTTGGTGCCACTTTGCAAGGTAATGTGGTTCAAGTGGCAGTGCTCGAAGCACTCGTTACCAGAGCTCTTTGTCACAGCTGGCAGTCACAGAGGGCCTAGGAGTCCTGGTTCTAAAGAGGGGCCCTTAGACTGTCAGGCTCTTTCTCCTCCCGCAGGTATCTCTGCCGTAAACTGTTTGGCTTTGGTGATGGTGTGGACTCTGCCTCTTCAAGGCACTGACACAGATTGGCACTGGGGTGTCCTCAGGACTGGAAGAAGGGGGTGGAGCACACAACCGTGCCTAATTGTGGGGCTACCTTTGTTTCAATCGGACTTTCCTTGGAGACTGTGAATCTTGGCTGGGCCCATCTGGGTACAGACCCCAGTGGTTTCCTTGGGGGGGGGGTCCCAGACTCCCATGGGACCCTGTGGTTCCCCCCCCCCAGAGGTGGGAGTCTTCTGCTGCCTCGAGGTCCACCAGCTGGAACCCCAAGACCAGTGCCTCTCTCAGGAGCGCGGCTTCCGCAGAGCCTCTCGACACCTGGGAGAACGCTCACACAACTACCGAAGCGCAGATGGCGGGCTGCTGACCAGGCCAGGCTCACGTTGGGCCTTGGGCCTCAGACCCCGGTGGGAAACTCTAGGCTGGAGGCAGGAGGCCCGCCGCACAGATCCTCCGCCATGGGGCCAGCCCTTGTCCTTCGTGGGCACTGCCAAAACACCAGCCCCACTTCAGAGCCCCGCTCCCGGGTCACCGTCTGGACAAGCCATGAGTGTGCATGCCTCACCCGTGGAGCCTCTGGCCGCGCCTGTTGGTCCCCTTCTCATCTCCGCCCTGTTGGGACTTGAGTTGTAGGCCCCCTCATCCCTCAGCCCCCCCTGGCATCCTTCCTTCCCCGGGCGGCACTGTGGTCACTCTTCTCGGCATCCCGGCCCCTGGAACTGGGGGGACGTGGCCGTCCCCCACGCCAGATGGCCGCGTCTTCCATGCGGAGCCCGGTGGTCATCCACCTGCTCTTCCCCACTTGGCTGCTGAGTGCCCTCAGAGGAAACGCCGTTCTTGGACCCTAGCCTCCGGCCTCCCTGGGCCCCAGGGAGCTCGCGTTTGCCCGGCAGTCCACTTTTGAAGGCCAGTTCCTCCCTCCTTGCCCTTTGATAGCAACTCCAATTGTGGGTCCTTAGCCTCCGCTGCCTATTTCTCCCGTCTGCTCCATCCGCCCTCTCGTCCTGCTTCCTTCAGAGCTCCGGCTCTCTCAGGAGCGGCCGCCGGTCCTGCCTTCTGCCCACGAGTCCACCCTGACACCCACTAGGATCTGTTTCTGCAGCAAGCATTCTGTCCTTGCCCCATATGTCTGGGGAAGGGAGTCCCGTCTCCATCAGCTGCCCCCGATTCAATCCTCTTCTGCCTCCCTGGGGGTCTTGTTCTGTGAGTTACTTGTTCTTTGCCTTTTCCTTGTCACCCAGCTGCCCCGCATTTCAACTGGTCACTCGGCCCCAGGGACTGCACCTGGTCAATGGTCACCGGAAATGCCTCCTCCCTCCACTCCCACTTTCACTGCCCTTTGCGGAGGCCCACATCATTTCTAGCCTGAGCCTTAGCCACGGACCCCTACTCTGCCCCCTGCTCTAATCTAATAAGCTCCATACTACCTGGAAAGAGCCTTTCCAGTGTGACTTAAGACATGCGCCAGCTGAAAACCCGAGGGCTCCTCCTGCCCACTGCACAAAGCCTGTGCCCCTCCCCCCCCGCCCCCACGGGACACGGCCTGACGCAGCTCCCGTGGGCCTCCCTGGCTTTATTTCCTGGAGCTCCACCTTGTGCTTCAGTCCTGCCTGGCCAGGTTCTTAGAACACACTTGCTGTGTCGTGCCCTCACACCTTCTGCATGCTGCTCCTTCCTGAGGGCGGTGCACACATTCCTAACTTCCCCTCCTCTTATTCCGTGTCGACTTCCCTGTGTCATACCCCTGTGTTGTACTATTCCGTGTACATGAAGTGCCCGGGCATCGCATTTATCACCCCAGGTTTCAAACGTTCACTAGCACGTCTGACTCCTCTCTTAAGACCGTTGGCTCCTTGAGTGTAGAATCAGGGGTTTTATTGGTCTCTGCACATTGGTGCCTGGGGCAGAGCTAGACCACCATGGGTATTTTCCGAAAGCACGGTGCACCAAGGCATCTGGCTAATGAACATCTTTCAGCTCTCCTTCCTGCGGCTGCTGTTTTTCCTGTTATTTACCTGGCTGGGGCTCCGAACGAGATCCCCCATTGAGGGTGTCCAGGCTGGAGGTGGTTGCTGCCCTTCGATCCGTTCATGTCTCCACCCCAGGTCTCTCAGTATTTTTAATTCTGTCTATTTCTCTAGCCTCCCGATAGCAGTATCTGGAGAAGTGGTCTGTCTTGGGGGAAAAATCTTTACAAATAAGTACAGTTTGATGTGAAATGTCCTTTGGGACAATAACCAGCTAAGAGAGGATGCAAATTTCACAATCAGAGTGCTTCACATTTGCTTCCTCCTTGCCTCTCTGGGAGGCATTTTGAACAGTGCAGCAGGAGGTGACAAATCAAGGGTTCTGTCTCATTTTGCCGCTGAGCCTGTGTGTGCTCACAAACAATCACAAAACATTTTCTTCTACTATTTTTTTTTTTTTTTAAAAAGCGCCCAGCCACTCCAAAGAAGTCTGCTGGGAAATACAGCTGGGCCTCTTTTCCCCGTCCAGAGCCTAACTGGCGGATGGCCAGGTTGTTGTTTGCAACAAGGATACCCTTCAGAAGAATGAGGGCACCGGCCCAACCTCCGGAGGGCTGCAGGTGCCCTTTTTTGTTTTTAATGAAGAGCCTCTAATTGGTTAAACCTTGGCACTTCCTTCGAGCAGGTAATGATGTAAGTTGCAGACCACAGGCACAAGAGAAACAACACAAACAATTCACTGAGGCAGATCTCTGCTGGTGCACACTGGGCAGTCATCAAAAATGAAGGTGTGGGAGCCTGTTTAATGACATGGAAAGCTATTTGCAGTGTTATGTGAAAAGACTAGGTACAAAACAGCACTGAACAGTCTTGTTTAAAAAAAAAAGCAGAGACGTAGGCATCGAGAGCAAGCAAGCCCAGAATTCGAGAGGCCGATGTGTGTTTACCTATGGCTGATGGGGTGAGGGGTGCTTTGATTTCCTTTTGGCTTGCCTGTATTTTTCAAAATGTCCGTAATGAATCAGAGTTACAGTTTGAGAAGGGAGCAAGAGAGGCTGATAATAACAAACCCATTCCCCGTCGGCTGTTGCGACAGTTCCTGGATTCTAAGAGTGTCAGCTGAGTTTTCCAGGTTCCCAGAATGAGCTCAAAGTTTCCACTGCTCTGTCCAGGTCCAAGCCGTGCTCCCAGAAAGTATGTATGGCAATACCCCCGAGAAGGTGAGCCTGAAGGTGGGCAGGGGCTGTGAGAAGCAGAGTGATAAGTGATAACAGTCTTGGGGACCTCCTAGACCTGACCTTGTAGGTGTCAAGGTCTCCAGTGGAAGAGGAAATGGCCCAGCAAGGAAAGCCCCACCCAAGCTTTTGCACGAGTCTGTGGGCAACTCAGCTTTGGCTGAGTCCTTTCCTTGGGGGTAGGTTTTGTGAGGTTTCCTGCTATCCTGATAGGCAAGTCAGGAAGGCCTGGAGCTAGTGTCCAACAGTCACTGTCAGGACCCAAGGGTACGTTCCCATCTAAGCATGTCAGAACCAACTTGTCTCTGTTTTACAGGAATTCAGGAGACACTGTGCTGTCTGAACAGCCTCTGATCCAAAGCAGCTGGGGTGAACACTAACGTCCCCTATTCCTCGTCGCTGTCTTTGATAATGATCGTGGTGACAGGTTGTTACAGTGGCCCAAGGTTCACAGTACACGGAAAAAGTAGCTTGAGCCAAAAGGCAGGAGTTAATAGAGATGAGCCTATTAAGGGCTGTTGAATCAGTGTCATCTTAACTTATTTCTAAGTGGGGAAGTAGGACTCTGAGCCCACATCCCCCACACGGCTCCCATCTACCTTCCAGTGTCTTCCTGGGGCACTGCCTAGTTACCTCCCAGGTGCAGAAGTCCACACCAGTCCTTCACCTGGGCTTTTCTGCTGTTTCCTCGCTCCTGTACCGTTTGATACCACCTGCCAAGCCTCCCTGCATCCTGTGAGGCAGTGCCTACTCCAGGCTTTCCTTCTTCCATCCTCCCTCCTCCTCATTATTCGGTTTACACAAAGCCCTCAACAGTGGGATTTCAGAGCCTCTGGACCTGAGCTGAGAGGTCCCCAGTACTTGATTTTTAAATTTATTTTTAAAAAATGTTATCTGCGGTTTTTGCAACAAATCTGCACTGTGGGTGGAATTTGCAGGTGGGAAAATTGAGGCTTAAAGGACCAGTGACTTGCATAAGGACATACAGCCAAGGTCTTCCTCCTCTAGCTTCAAAGCTCTCAGCCATGCCACCCATCTGCTGCCTGTTCCCATCGGTATCATCTGTTAGGCACTCTCTCCGAGCAAGGCACTGTGCGACGAATTTTCCGTAAGTTATTTCTGGACTTTTCTGCCAGTGCTTCATGCATTCACTTGCTCATTCAATAAGTGGGGGGGACACTGTCTGTGCTGTGTTCAGTACTGCCCTCAAGGCAGGGAGAAGTGTGTCTTGTCTGAGCACTTCATAAGAATTTCTG